CAGGGAGGGATGCAGACAGATAGGCAGTCAGCCGCTCAGACCCTGGCCCATATGGTGGACCTCTGGAGCTTGTTGCCTCCGCAGATAAGGGAGGGACGGATGGAGCAGAGATGTTTGGAGGAAGGCTTAGAGGAGAAGGAGGGGAGGTTGAAACTAATCAGGCAACCCCAACTGTCCACTGTCTTTGGGGAGTTTAGAAATGAATACATGTGGCTGATAGATCTACACAAGTGGGGGGTGTAAGTCTCCCATCCGTGCCATTTTTAGATGGACCGTTTTCATTTATTATTCAATAGTTATTTGGATTCTCAACATATTGTCACCATAATTATGTTCGTTAGCAAACCGGTATATATGATTAATTGTAGCGCATAAATAGTTCAGGTTTTTATGTTTTTCAGACTCAATAAGTGTTTGATCTAAGATTATCTATAATGATGATCTGTAAACAGAGTATTTTTGATTTGTGAATTTCTATTTGTAAATGCTAAAATATTTCATTTATTTTTATTAAATCACAACTGTCACATATCTGTTTCCTACTATCTCAGAGGCAGATATGCCACAAAAAAACAGAAAAAAGAAACAGAGCTAATGACATTTTATTGCTGAAATCTCAATCGTGATTTAAAGATTTAAAGTAATTTGTTTTCTTTGAATCTTTGTTAATCAGATGTCTTAAACAAAAGCATAACACAATAGCAAATGTCTTTTTTGTCTGTTGTTATGGTCTACAGGTTAAATTCCTGATTTTCTTTTCTCTGTGCGTATTAAAGACAGATCATTGAGATTAAGCCACTTCGTCTGTAGGTGTGTTTGACAGAAAATATAAAAACTAACACAAAAACCTGGCCAAACTGTTTTCAACACTGTAGCCACAAATTATTCTTGACAAATTGGAATAATTACAATTAATGAGAAGTGAACATTAAAAGCAAGAAAAAAAATTCAGGCATATTCTATCCAAGCACTTAGGGTGATAAAATACTGGAAAACTAAAAATCTATACAAGCATTGGGAATCCTGAAACATCCATCTCACATAAACACCTTTAGAAACCAGCTTACAGTCTAAATACTTACACACTATTTAGGCTCAAAGCAGCTAATATTGAGCAAAAGTAACAGAAATACATGATTTAAGAAATGGGAACACAAATTATTGTAAGAGCACTGCCACCCTTTTACTATAAAACATCCTGGCATGATTAAATGATAGGGTCTCTCCCCCCACATATGTAGACCTTTATTAATCCTCTTTAGAGTTTTTAAAACACATCAAGCCAAGCCTCTGAGGGACCTAAAGGCTGGCCACCTGCCACTCATAAGACAAAGTAATAGACAGATCTATAGAAAACTGGTCAGATGGTCAAACCCTTTTGTCATAAAACAAAACATAATCACGTAGATGCACTGTTTAAGTCAAACGCTGCATTTAAGGTAGTTTGTCTTTGCTGCTGAGTTGTTTATTGTGTTTAGTTTGTGGAGATACATACAACCAAAAACAGAGGGATATAAGGTAAACTACAGATTTATGAGAAGAACCAAAATAAAATGCTTCATATGAAATAGGAATAAATAGTAGTTTAAAAACTGTGCAATCACAGAAATATTTGATCCACTATTTATTACATTACAAATTCACATTTACATTTTTAATATAACATTTTTAAAAATCTATTAAATAAACCGTACATCATACAAATTCATTTGTATAATATAGCTTAATTATTCAAAACAACATAATCATCAAATTTATGTATCTTGTATTAATTAAATATACTTACTCAAAATGAACACTAATAAGTTTTAATTTCAAATACACACAGTTTATTGTTAAAACTGCATGAGGGTAACCTGATTATCATGTAATTCAAACAATAAAACCTTGTGTATTTTATAAAAAAACACAGAAATGAACATACATTTTCAGTAAATATACTTAATTCATATCAAATGCATAAACCTGGAGCTTAGAGGTTTTTGTATTTTTAATAAATAAGCAATTACAGACTAATGTATCATGTTAGGTCAATTTTATAGGTTTGTGTTAAATTATTACAAAAAAGGAATTGAGAATTTGTTATGGAACAAAATGACAAAAATCATAAAATTTGGGTGAAATATTTGTGTGTGCTATATGAGACATTCAGTACTAATGATTGAGTTACTCTAAATGGCCTCTAGAGGGCACAGCAACGGTATGAATCATGTTTACAGCATAATATATAAATGTTACTGTTTCTGTTCAGACTTGGAACTAATAACTTTACTGTGAGACAATATATATTTCATTGAGAGTCTACGTTAAAAAAAATCACATATGACTGCTTTCTGGTGCTAATAAATTATTAATACAAGAGATATATTTGTTGGAAGCATTCCAAATGATTACTCCTCATGTTAGACACACTTCGGACTTTTATTGGTAGTTTTTTTTTTTTACTTTTTTTTTTCATCAAGTAATTCTATTTTTGTCTGATGTTTGCTTATATAAAACTTTTGCAAAGCATCACAAGCCAAAAATTCTGGGCATTTTGCCTTTTTTAATGTAATAAGAATATTTTACCAGTAGAGGGCGACAAAAGATTGCCAAAAAAAGTTTACAAACCAAAAATTCTGGTCGAAGTTACCAAACTGTATGTCAATAATAATAATAATAATAATAATAATAATAATAATAATAATAATAATAATAATAATAATAATAATAATAATTAAATAAATTAAAAGAATAAATAAAAAAGCACAAATAAAATATAAGTTTTTGGAAGTAAAACTGATAAGCTGCTTTAACCTCCTAGGAAGTTGTCATGGTAACAGATGGTCATCTATAAACCATCTGTAAAGGTTTAAAGCAATTTATAGTCAGTGAGCCAAACTTGTTTTCGTTCTGAGAGCAATTGGCCTAAAATCAGCCCACCCAGAAGCAGGTCTTTAATATTATGTACTGGAACCACATTGGTGTTTCACCTGCTGTGAAGCAGATGCAACACAGGCTGCCACACACACACCTACCACACACACATAGATTAGGAGCTGTGAGATCACTCGCAGATGCAAAAGACTATTGAAATTGCTGGCTGCCTCATCAGCCTGTATCAATGACTCATGTTTGTTTTCAACTGTGTGTAATTAAGTGTGCCTCTGCTGAATCAGTATAACGACACAAGATTTATCAATGTTAAGTAGGAGTCTGGACCCAGAATAACTGACTTGGTAATGGAGTGTTGACGACATAGTTTTAAGATATGAATCTTTACAATTCCTATAACTGACCATAATCTTTTTAGAAGACTAATCACCACAAAAATATATTTGTTCATAAATTTCTATTCACAGTGTTTTTTTTTCATATGCATGTTTTATTTTATTTTATTTTTTTTATCAATCACTAAAGACTGTTGCCTGCTTGCCACTGTTAGGAAAACCACAAGGATTCCTTGCATTCTGCTTGTAGTGATCCAATCATTTATCTGTCACAGCTCTAGCAACAGCTGTTTTAACTGGAGGTTTTACAACTTTACTGCCTCTTATCCACCAAACACTCATGGAAGGCTACTGAGTTGGTTTTGTATGGAAGGATTAAAGGGAACGATAACACAAACAGCTCAAACTATTTTTTTTTTATTATTATTAGTACCGGTTTAGTTATAATCAGTTAGAACCTTTAGAGTATTAATATATTTTACAATTTAATATCTTATTCATTTTTTTATTTTATTTTAGTAGAAACCTTCTCAAATCAAAGTTTCGTCTTACGCCAAATTTAGAGGCTGCTGGTCAAAGCAGGCAAACATTTTTTTTTTCTATAAAAAAAAAATCCTGAACCAAATCCCATACATTTTAATACATTTGAAATTTAAAAAGTTGTTTTAATTATTATTCTCAAATTTGAGTAGGCCTATATAATATCTGACACAGACCATGAATTTAATTTTGTTTCATAAAAGATAAGACAAACTAAGTTTTAAGACTGTGCAATCGGATTGGTCCAGGTTTCACCAGTTTATGGATTGTATGTTTCCACTTATCTCAATCTAATTATCTCTGCTTCAAATCAAACCCCAACTTTAGCATGAACTCCCATTGTGCAGCAACAACTGTACAAGTTGTTTAAAGTTTCCACATCACAGATGGATGCTAGCCTGGCCAACCATGCACTGAACTAAAATCAGTTTAGTAAAGCTCAAAACACTCCTCTCTAAAATGGACCTGGCCAATCACAGCGCAGCAGGCGGGTCCAAAATGCAAAAGGGACTTTAAATATCCATAACTGTCATATTGCCACAATGGAGCAACATTTTATTGATGTCCTTTATGATAAGGTGGAAAAACGGTTAACATCATTAAAACTTTAATAACTGGCTGCTGTAAGAGCTTTTCTTAAAAGGACAACAACAACAAAAATAGTTTTTGCATCACACCTGTAGTTATCCGATTGGTTCTAAGCAGTCTCCTCTGAGTCCATTAGTCTTGCCTATAAAAACGGGCTCTACCTGCTCCTTTCAAGATGAATATACTGTTTACACTGTGAACATTAGTCTGGCTGACCAGGGTATAGATGCACATGCAAATACACAATAAAAACGCTGACCATTCACTGTTTCTAAAAGTTTGAGGCGCCCCCTAGGCAGTCCCGCCCTGGGTTGTGAGCCATAGCCCATATCTAAAACCAAAAGCTTGGGAATCAAGGATAAGGGATTGGATTAATCTTGCATGTAGATGGTATTTATGAAAAAAAGAAAAAGAAAAAAAGAAAAAGAACTCAGTGTACTAAAATGAAACTTCACCAAAGTTCACCATACTTACTGAATGGATCAAACAAGTTATTCAAACTTTGTCAACTCTTTTTATTCACTTAAAAACCTACTCCAGAATAAACTTCTCTGGAGAAGAAGGTGAAATCAATCTGAGAGGGTTTGGTTATGTTGGGTGTGTGTGTGAGTGTGTGTGGCTGCATGCCCCCTACCCCAGCCCTCCACCCCCTCTTTACAGGACTGCCAGACCGTCTACAGTTATTCCAGGAATGTGTTGAACATGGCTGCCGCGATGAAGGCGCAGAAAACGGGACTGCTTGAACTTCGAATCACCGTGGACCGCTGGATCCGAGTGCTGGCCACGCTTACCGAGGACACTCTAAGTGTAAACCCCGGCGAGGGCGCAGAGGAGCGCGCAAAGCCAAACCCGAGTCCCGCAGGTGCTGTCAACGGAGACCCTCCGAACCTCAGCTCGTCCCCGGTCCCGGAAACCATCACCAATGTGAAGCGCACCGTGAGAGTGACCAAACAAGATGTGGGAGGACTTGGAATTAGTATCAAAGGTAGGGCGACATTAAGGAGGGACTTCATAATAAACAGAGGATCGCTGTCAGTTAATAAGTTTGACTGGGAGTTTGAGAAATAAACACAGCAATCAATCAGCCTTTAGAGTCTAATTAACTCTTGAAAACACGCTTCAAGTTAAACCAAACACAACTTCTGGTTCTTATAACTATTTATGCTGATTTTCTGAGTATTTTTGTCCAAAGAAAAAATATGACAGCTGTGATTATTCTGCAGCCGTGACTCACCTAAATGGAGAAATCCTTTCTGTCCCAAAGTCACAGGAAGCAGGTCCTATAGTGGTTGGATCAGAGTCTGCAGCTTTCATGATCAGATAAGATACATTTTTATCCTATTTTATCTTAAATTGAATCCCTGCTGTGAAAGCAACGCAAAACTATGCAGGTATGCTGATCATATATGTCAGTATAACTGGAGAAATAAACACCTTTCACAGGACCATGTGTTTTTGCTTGCCTTTGTTCTCAAAATGACTTTTTTGTGGCTAAAAAATAGTAACTGTGAGAGATTGAGTCAATGAGTTGATGCAATCAACTGATTTCCCTTAGATAGAAACCTTCTAATTCAAATTGTGTTGTGAATTGGCTCTATATAAATAAACTGAATTGAATTGAATTAACTCTCCGTAGATTTGCAAGAGACTGCTCTGTTTTCTCTTTCAAATTTTTAAAAAGGAAGGATAATAAATGATGAGTGGAGCCCTAAACTAAATTTGGTTTTGCAGACCTTCCAACTACCATAACTCAAAACAGCTCGACTAAAAGATTCTTGCTCTAAATTTGTGCATTTGTGCATCATACATTTAACATCTTTTTTTTTGCAATATGAATTAGATAAACTATAATGCATTAACTAACTATAAGGTGAGTGTAATTTTAAATGACATGTTTCCTACTGTAGCAAATGGAATAATAGTTGTTTTTTATACTTATAAAAATACCAATTTAATTCTTTTTTTTTATTATTATTATTGTGAGGCTTTTACTGGCAATGGAGTAAACGAACATTGCCAAACAGAATGCTCGTTTATATGAGTTATGCTTTTGTAAACTCTTGAGGATTCCAGTGCTCTTGGGGTCCTCCGCTTGTGTGGAGGCCGTAATTAGCTGATGAGGTTAGTTGTGCTTTTGGGCGACACATTTCATTTAAAAAAATTAAATTAAATGTCAGTAATTATTTACCAGAATTGTTCGTTGAATGCAGAAAAGTTGTATTCACCATGAAACTATAGCTCCCTTTACATAAGTTTAAATCTTTGGATTTTTTAAATTGAAAAAGCTTCCTGGATGGGAAGCGAAACGTCTTCAAACTTGGAAACAAAGTCCAGTGGATTGTTTTTTTAACTTTTTGGAATTACTATGACCTGGATGACTGAAAATCTTCAGCAGGATCTGTAAATAATTGGTTAATTATACATAGGTTGGTTCTTTTTTTATACCTTTTGTTTGTTGACTTGTGTTCCCTGTATTAGTAATATGACTTGAAGAAGCCTTTCTAACATTCTACAATATAGAATAAGCAATAAAAGCAAGCGCTAACATCGTATTGGGTCAATATCAGTGTCAGTCAATTCTCAAATTTGCAATATCATTATCGTGTCGGACATTAAAAAGTTGTATCGGGACACCTCTAACAGTGGATCCTGCAAACATAAACCCATCTGTCTGTCATTATTTCTTTTTACAGAATTGTAGGTTTTTGTGAGTTTAGTCACTTTCAAAGCAGAAGTGTGCTTTTTGTCACTTTATGCCAGCTTGTAAACACTTTGATTGGATGACATGATTCTATCTGAATTGTAGAGACTTTTTGAAACATGGTGGCTACCATTGCCAGTGATGAGCTAGGGTTAAGTGTTTTTTGAGAGAAATAGCCCCATCTCATTGCTAGATGAGAGTTATTCCTACACAGTATCCCTTTAATTGTTAAACCCATTAACCGTCCATTGTCCACTGGTAAAGACTTAAAGTTCCAATAGTTTTTAGCTAAGACCAACTGTTAAGGGGTTAATTTCAGTGGATAGAAAGGCATCTGTCTAAACATTCCCAGCCAATTCTATTGAGTAGACCTCCTCAGCCCAAGGATGCATGTAACAATCCGGGAGAGGAACCTTTTCCTTTCAACAATAAAAAAACCTCAAACAAAACTAACTTAGGGTTAAGAGGCCAGAGACAGGCTTAAAAAACAGCAGAAGAAGTAGTCTTACATCTGTTAGAAAAGAGTTCTTCAGGTAATTAGCGACATAAGCTCAATAGGTTTTTCTCCTTAGAGAAAATCTCAGTTAAACAGATTCAGCTTTAGTGCTATCCATGGAATAAAAAAGTAGGAACAGAGCAGAAAGTTAATGAGAGCCCAGGTAAAGAGCCTTTTTAAGAAAGGGGATGAGATATGATTTATTTTCAAGCAAACAAACCAGTGCACAAGTTGCCTGACTGGGATACAGACAACAATTCAAATTGAG